CTCTCATTAAGTACCTGATGTTATGGAATTTGACCTGTGCAGTCAGCCTTTTAGCCAGCTCTACTGCTCAGGCTCTAAGTCTTCAACAGATCACCTTGAGCCCCGGGTACATGGGTTCTTAGACAGTGGGATTGCTTTAGATTACTAGCTGGCAAAACAAGGAGGAGTCTGTGCAGGGCTAATACAACATGCTATGCTATGACACCATTAACAAAACGGCAACCACAACTGGCAGTAGGATTTCCTATTAGCTAAACAAGGTAGGATAAGTGCCATTACCAGCTTCTCCTGCTGTACATGGATAAACGATACTGAACAGGTAGAAGTCAATATCCTTGAGATACACAACCAAGCCAAATGGTTACACTCGTTTGGGAAAACCTACTCCAGTTCCCAGGATATCTGGAATACAATAAAAAGGGCTCTTCAGATTCTCACTGGGTTCCTCCACCTCACAGAGGTTTTCAACCTGTGGGTCGCGACCCCTTTGACGGTCGAACGACCCTTTCACAGGGTCACCTAAGACCATCCTGCATATCAGATATTTACATTACAATTCATAACAGTAGCAACATTACAGTTATGAAGTAGCAACAAAAATAATTTTATGGTTGGGTCACAACATGAGGAACTGTATTTAAAGGGCCAGAAGGTTGAGAACCACTGTCTTAGGATCTCTTGCTGCTATCCTTTTACTGCTCATCCTTGGACCCTGCCTCCTGAACTGTCTAGTTTGTCTCTGAAAGAGTTGAGGCAAACTATAGATGATAATAACTCAGGAATTAATGGGTGGGGCTACAGCCAGGAGATATTAGACCTACTTGAAGCTAGCTAGGGGAAGGTTTCACTTCTCTAACAGGACCCTGACAACAACTCTTTTATGAGAGAAGACAGATCTTCGACTCTCGATATCCTTCAAGAATGTGAGTGAAAACAGAAAAGGGGAAAATTTGTTATCCCACAATAGGCCTGTGTGACCTGGCTAAAACCCTTGCCTTTCCTTAACTCTGTTCATCTCTGAGAGACAAGATGGCCTACAATTAGTAGCTTTCTCCCAAGAATGAGCCAGTTAAAAATGGCTAAGACCAGATGGCCACCAAATTGAACTCCATACAACTTCAAACCTCATTATATCTGCAGGACATCTCTGAACTACCTCTGTACTTGTAGATTGAGCTGCTGAGTTTGGCGCCTGAGAGGGAGCTGAGAAAGTTCTACCAGGAATGGAGTTACTGTGGGGCTAATGAAACTTAAACTCTGGGTTCCACATTGGCCTGGGCTTCTCGCAGATGCTGGGAGTCTCAGGTAGGGAAAGGAAGCAGGTTGTAGTCAGGAAGGATTTCTTAGTAAGCATTTCAGGTCATGTGATCTCAGAGAAAGGAACTTAAATCTCTAAGTCTCCAACATTTTATGGTGATTTCTTTTCACATTATAAATAAATACTTAATTTTGCATTCCTAATTTTGTATTCTTATTCTTAGAGAGGACCACCCAAATTCTATGTGCTTTAGGCCACACAAAATCTGGATCTGCCACTGGGATTTAATAAATGAGCTACCTGGGTGTTTTGCTAGTATGTGTTTTCCTACATTTAGTAACACACAATTTATATGAGTGAACAAACACGAAGAAGAATCTAGAGAATTTCAAATAATTCTGAAATCAATGCTTTGATGACTCTTTTCTGAGAGAACTGGAACTTCCTGGCAGGCGATATATTTCCATGTTAGTATTAATAAATGCTATGAAACTGGAACTCAGATACCGATGTCAGTTCAGTTCAAGAAGGCAAGCCTTTGTGGAATGCCTACTGTGTGCGAGGGGATTTAGGGCCAGGCTCTTTTTTTTTTGATAGTTTAAATTTATTTTAAGAGTGATTTGAAATTAATTGCCTTATTATCTTAACAGTGAAGTGTTTTTAGTTCCTTGGAGTCTTAATAACAGTTCTCTTTTAAGAAATCGGAGCCAACGTGATAAATATGATTAAATACCAAGGAACAACAATGATAAATTGTTGGAACCAGTCATTTGATGTTCTCTGAAACAGACTTGTCAGTCTGCCTGTCTTAGGAGTTTCAGTGCAGAGGAAATAAAATGAAAACTGTCCTTTTTCTTCGTTTATAGATGGTTTCATAGATTGTCGTCATGGGTAGCTTTGAGGTAACTATTTTTTCCCACCAAGAATCCCTATATTGCAAATGAACTATTTTATGTTCATCATCTTGTCATTCTCTTAAATGTATCATTAAATAAGTATCAAGTACTTGCGTTTGAGAAATGTCATTGATTTCCTAAAAGACAAGTCAATATTAATGTCAGATACTGTAAAGTTTCACAGACAAACAAAGTCAGAGGAGGAGAGAGATTGATGTGTGTGTGTGGGGTGGGTGGAGGGTCTGTTTTAGAAAGGCAGTACTGTCTTCCTAGCTAGACCTTGAGTGTGCCGAGCATACCCCCTTCTTAGGGACTCTGCACTTGCTGTCGCTTCTGCCTAGAATGCTGTCCTTCAGAAAACTGCATCAGCTATTTTCTCACTTCACTCAGGGCTCTGACCACCCTGTCTATGGACACCTTCTGCCATTCCATTTCCTCCCTGCTCTTCAAGGATTCATCTCCATCTGACATTAGGAACTGAGGAAATTCAAAGAAATTCTTTGATAAATCCTTTGCCATCTGAAGTCTTACTACTTGCTTTTTGAAATTCAGGAATTGAAAAGATTTCTAAATAATTCTTCCTATTTGATCTGGATATTTGAATCAGGAACCAAATAATTTTATATAGTAAAGGATATTTGTTGTTTTCTTCATAGTACCTTTTACTCTCTGATTTGTCTATACGTTTGTCTGTCTCCCTCACTAAAATGTTAGTTTCATGGTGGGTGGGACTTTGTTTTGTTCACTGCTCTATCCCCATCACCTGGAACAGTGCTTGACACCTAATCAAGTCTCAATAAATATGTGTTGAATAAATGTGTTACCACATGAATGAGTCCATTTGAACCAATATCATCTGAACTCTAATTTTAGAAAATATGTGATTGTATGTAAAAGGCTTACTTCACATTATTAAATTTTAAGAAGCAAGATGTGGGGTTATATGCATAGTATGATTTCCATTTAAAAAATCTTGAAACTTTGCATGTGTTCATTTATTCATTCGTTTCTTTTTTTAAAATTCACAGGAGGGAGAGATAGAAACATCAATGATGAGAGGAAATCATTAATTGGCTGCCTCCTGCACGCCCCCTACTGGGGATTGAGCCCGAAACCCAGGCATGTGCTCTTGACTGGAATTGAACCCGGCACCCTTCAGTCCATCGGCCAATGCTCTATCCACTGAGCCAAACCGGCCAGGGCTATTCATTCATTTCTTGAAAGAAAAGTTATTAAGTATCTCCAGTGTGTCCATTCTGTGCTGGGCATTCTAATTCAGCTACAGTTTCATGAGAAGACAGATCATGAAACAACATGAAATGAACTCCACCCTTTCCCTCATCACTACTCTCTAGCTATGTTGATCTTCATCCAGTTGCTCACATTTATTAATCTTTTAACATTGCATAGGTTATTCTCCCCCTCCCCCTATTGATTTTTTAGAGAGAGTGGATGGGAGGGAGGGAAGGAGAGAGAGAAATATTGATGTGAGAGACACATCGATTGTTTGCCACCCACATGCCCTCTGACCAGGGCCAGGGATCGAACTTGCAACCCAGGTACGTGCCCTTGACCTGGAATCAAACCTGCAACCCTTCGGTTATTTTGTTATATGCTTAATATGTGTCTCTATATATTATAAATTCTGTGAGGTTAGGGACCATAATACCATTTAATTATCAATACCTAGCTTAATGCCTAATATATAGTAGGTATTCAATAAACATTTGTTGAATGAATGAATGAATGAATGAATGAGAGAAGTACACACTAGGAATACCATATCTAATCTAATGGAAGTTAGGGGAAGTAAATTTCAAGGTGAGATCTGAAGAATGAGGAGGAATTAGCAAGTGAAGAAACCAAGCAGCGTGTTCTGGAGCTTAAGCTCTGAATTTATCCTAAAAGCAATAGAAGAGTTTTAAACCAAGAAGTGACACTGTCAGACTTACGTTTTAGATGGACCATTTCTCATTGTTGTTAGGAACAGACTGGAGCAGAGAGATTGGTTCAGAGGCTTTAGTGGTAGATGGTTGTGGCCTCCACTGGGTTCTTGGCAGTAGGGAAGAGAGAAGTGGGTGACTGAGATAGTGAGGGAAAGGAAGGAGTTAAGTATGATTCCAAACTTCTGTGTTAGGCAACGGAGAGGGTCCTAGGGCTCATCTTTCACTGGAACTCAGAGGGAGAAACCATCTTAGGAGAAAAGAGCCTGAGACCTGTCTGTATTGAAGCTGAGCATTAAGGACTTGGTTATATAGCTGACTTTTCTAGATAAAGGTACTTAGTAAAATACCTGGAAATAAATAATTAAAATATTATAGTATTGGAAATTTAGTTATATATCTAAAATTTTCTTATTAACTTTTGGTTTTCATTATTTTTGTTTTATAAAGGAAAAATAATAAACTTTAAAAAATTCTATTAGGATCTGCCATAGAAAATGCTAACATTTTTGTCCAAAAGACAAAAAAGTAAGGCTTTCTTAATAAAATATGGATTATTCCCAATGAAAATAAATGATTGGTCCTGAATAGAAGCCCATTGTCAAATGGTTCACCATTAGTGTATGTGTGTGGTGAAAGAGGAGGGCTTCGTTTGGAAATTTAACCTTATCATTCAGAGGTCTGCTAGAGTCAGCAACTGTCCTCCCCTCCCTCCCTCCCTCCCTCCCTTCTTTCCTCCCTCCCTTCCTTCCTTCCTTCCTTGTTCATATATCAATCCTCAGCATGGTCCCTGGCTTTTAGTAATGGCTCAAGTGGAAGCTATTATTTAGATTTATTACTAATACATTTATTTTTACTGCAGTTGTTATACAATGATGTTATTTGTGTCTAATTGATTTTTAGGTAGATTGGGGTCACCTGGACTATTTAGTTGTTGACATGCCACCAGGAACTGGAGATGTGCAGTTATCAGTCTCACAGAATATTCCCATTTCAGGTAAATCTCAAAGTTTAAAGTGGTTTGTGCTATCTTTGATGCTTTGCTGTTGCCTTATTGAAAAACAAACTTTATGACAAACATTTTTATATCTTAAAAAACATAATCATTTATAAATTTTCCTTTACAGATAAAATTCATAAATAGAATTTTTCAAACTATTACTAGAACAGTTACATTTTCAAAAACATGAGACACTTGAAGAGGTGGTGATGTAAATCTGTGCTCTGGAAAAGCAGGAGCACTTGTGTTATTTAGGTAAAACATGGCTGTTTGGGGTTCACAGCTCTCTAGCACTTACAGCATAGTGCCCAATACATGGTGGGCACTAAGTAAATATTTATTGAATACCTACTCCTGAATAAGAGTAAATTTTAGGAAAATTTGGATTTTTGGTGAATGTAATTAAGGGAAAATTTTATATTCTGCTAATTATTTACTAAAATCAAGAGAGCAAAAAACATATTCACTTACTTCAAATACACAATACTTCATTATAGTAGGGGTTATGTATGATGGAGTTTCAGTATTTGTTGTTAAGTTTTATGTTAAACTAGAGGCCCGGTGCACAAAATTCTGCATGGGTGTGGTCCCTAGGCCTGGCCGGTGATCAAAGCGCGAGCATCTGGCGTGGAAGGGCAGGTCCCAGCTGACCTCTGGGCCCTGGGCAGCACCTGGGACCCCGGGTCCCCGCAAGCCCCCTGCCTGAGTCTCAGCGCCTGAATCCCCACGGGGAGATGCGGTGAGCATGGCCAGATGGGGTGGGCCGGGGCTCAGTGTGGGCCTTTGGGCTGCCCAGCGGTGCCGCATGGAAGCTGGGCGGGCAGGCAGCGCGCTCTCTCTCCCAGCCAGCCTCGCAGACCGGCTCCTGTGCGGACCCACTGCGAGCCAGACTGGCCCCTGCGTTCCCCGTGGTTGTGGCCCAGCTCACCCGGAAGCCCATTGGAGCCAGCAGCGCCTCCACTGCCGCCCGCTGCCAGCACCGCGTCACCGAGGCCCGTCATGTCTCTGGTGGTCAGTGTACATCATAGCGAGTGATCAAACTCCTGGTGGAACTCCCAGTCGAGGGGACAGTTTGCATATTAGGCTTTTATTATATAGGATCTGTTTCTAAGTGAATCTTTCCTAGATTCCACTGAAGAAATATTTGTTAATCTCACTTATATATAAGGACTTTGGGGAAAATAAGGGATATTTAAGTATCTTTGCAAGTTAGTTACTTATTGGTAATAATAACCAAGAGATATCCCTAACATTTAATCATCAGAAGGTTTAGAATCAGTGTTTTTGATAAAATATACACATTGTTTGAAAATATCAATATAGCATATTAATATGAATATTTTTTATGTTTAAATATATTTGTAATCTAATGGAGCCTGAGGCTTTTCCTTTAGTGAGGCAACCTATAAAGTATAAGATGGGAGTAAAGTGAAGTAACATAGGAAAATAATCCTTCCTCTTTATACTCAGCATACTAAATAGCCTGCTTTTTCTTTTTTAAAGAAGTTTTGAGACATCTTTCTCAATCTTAAGAATACTCACTAAATGTTTATTGAATGAAATGTGTTTCTGACATGTTGAAGTGCTTATTGCAGGTGTCCAAAATTCTTACATTATTCATGTGAATAATACATTGATAAAATTGGACTAAATTATCATTTATTTCCTGCATTGTGACTTGGTACCTTGCAAAAGTTTAATTTGCTTCACACAGATAAACTGAAGTCCCTGAGCAATTTACCTTTGTTCATTCAGATAAAAACTCCTCTGTTTGAACAGGATGAATGATTATATCACCCTGTTTTAATTTGTACTTATACTCTAAAACCAACAATGTGTAGATTGGGGTTAAGATAGTCTCTCCTTTGAGGATTTCTTTCTTATATCCTAAAACTTTCTGATCAAAATAAATTTGTCTATGAATATTGCTAAACCTGTGCACCTCTATATGCTGAGTTTCCAACCAACGGTCTGTAGTGGTGTTTATTATATTCAGGGTTTTGGGGGGTTTTGACTCTTAAGAGATTCCTTTGCGCCTCTTTAACTCATACATTCTAGGGAAGGTCTTGAGGTGGTCTGGAAGCAATCTCCTTTGACATTTAGGAGTAGAGCCCCAAATGATTCTTGGAAAGACTAATATTATCTTTGGGCTGATATACTGGCCTTGGCCATCTGGCTAGTTTCCAGGCACACTGGTTCTCAGTATAGAATTGCAGCTGTTAGTACATTCATACTAAGTTTTTATGTCAATATTAAAATTAATGTCAACGGAAAGACTAGATTTTCTAAAGTGATCTATGTGTTAATTTTATAATTAGAAAAAAATAGTAAAAAATAAAAGTATCTTACCAAAATGGATGTGAGCTGGAATTGGTGTCTGGTGGGGGGAGTGGTGGATGTGATTGTGTGTATATGTTTGTTAAAGGCTTAGTTCGTGAGGTTTGGTTTTATTCAGACCAATGTCATTTCACAGCTAACATATCTGAGAACATACCAAAATTGAGCCAATTCCCACGACTTAGAGGGAAGGGTACCAACCAAATAATTTCTGGCCTGATTTGAATCATGGCTTTTATTAGTTTATATAATCTGGAACAGCCTATCAGAATCATGTTGCCTTTCTAGGCCAAAGTGAATTATCTACTCTCTAATTATGAACCTAATTTTCCTTTCCTCTTATCATTGACTTCAGAATTCTTCTTGGTACTCTTATATTCTACCTTTTTTTATGTCCCATATATCATAAACCACATAAGTTTTTTAGACTCACATTTGAGTCCCCCTTAGTTTGACTTCCCTATCCTTCCCACTACACTTTCACATAACCTGGGATTCCTCCTCCAAAATCTTATGTACTCACTGCCCCCTCTCTCTTCCTTTTACTTTCCAAAGTCTTTGTCTTTTTTTAAAAATCTTTATTGTTGAGAGTTTTACAGATGTCTCCCTTTCTTTCCCTCATTGCCCTCCTCCACCCAGTTCCCACCTGACCCCAGGTCTTCACCACCCTATTGTCTGTGTCCAAAGGTAATGTATATCCTATATAATAAAGGCCTAATATGCAAATAGACAGAATGGTGGAATGACAGGTGGAATGACCAGTCGCTATAACACACACTGACCACCAGGGGGTAGACGCTCAACGCAGGAGCTGCCCCCCAGCCCACAGGCCCCAGGCCAGCCAAGGCGGGTGCCAGTGGGGGTCCCATGATCGCCCTACCAGTTGCCCCACAGATCTGCCCTAATGGCCGGCCAGGCCTAGGGTCCCTACCCATGCACGAAATTCGTGCATCGGGCATCTAGTGTGCATATAAGATCTTTGGTTAATCTCTTTCCGCACCCCCCTCACTCTTGCCCCCTGAGATTCATCAATCTGTTCCATGTCTCCATACCTCTGCTTCTATTTTATTCATCAGTTTATTTTGTTCATTAGGTTTATGATTTGTTTATTTTGATTTTTAGATTCAATTGTTGATAGATGTGTATTGCCATTTTATTGTTCATATTTTTCTTCTTCTTCTCCTTCTTCTCCTTCTCCTTCTTTCTTCTTTTTTCTTTCTCCTTTGTTCTTTCTTCTTTCTCCTTTCCTCTTTCTTCTTTCTTCTCCCTCCCTTCAACATTTCATGTAATACTGGTTTGGTGGTAATGAACTCCTTTAGCTATTTCTTGTCTGTGGAGTTCTTTATCTGACTTTCAATTCTAAATGATAGCTTTCCTGGGTAGAGTAATCTTGGTTATAAGTCTTTGCTATTCATCACTTTGAATATTTCTTGCCACTCCCTTCTGGCCTTCAAAGTTTCTGCTAAGAAATCAGCTGGCAGTTGTATGGGCATTCCCTTGTAGGTAACTAACTGCTTTTCTTTTGCTGCTTTTAAAATTCTCTCTTTGTCTTTTTTTTTTTTTTAAATATATGTTTTTATTGATTTCAGAGAGAAAGGGAGAGGGAGAAAAAGATAGAAACATCAATGAGGAGAAAGAATCATTGATTGGCTGCCTCCTACATGCCCCCTATGGGGGATCGAGCCCACAACCCAGGCATGTACTTTGATTGGGAATTGAACTGTGACCTTCTGGTTCATAGGTCGACTCTCAACCACTGAGCCACGCCAGCCAGGCTCTCTCTTTGTCTTTAACCTTTGGTATTTTAATCATGATGTGGGCCTCTTTGGGTTCCTCTTGTTTGGGATTCTCTGCACTTCCTGGATTTGTAAGTCTATTTCTTTCACCAGGTAGTGGAAGTTTTCTGTCATTATTTCTTCAAATAGGTTTTCAATATCTTGCTCTCTCTCCTATCCTTCTGGTACCCCCATAATACAAATGTTGGTACGCTTGAAGTTGCCTCAGAGGCTCCTTACACTATCTTTATTTTATTTTTGCTCTTCTAATTGGATGTTTTTTGATTCCTCATATTCAAAATTGTTGTTTTGATTCTCAGAATCCTCTACTCTACTATTGAATCCCTATAAATGATTTTTTTCTTTTTAAATATATTTTTTTATTATTGATAGTATTACAGATATCTCTCATTCTCCCCCCCCCCCCTTAACCCCTCTCCTCCAAACCCCTACCCACCCATGCCCAGGTCTTCATTACCCTCTTGCCCGTGTCAATGGGCTATGCATATAAGTATATAACTTCTTTGGTCCCTGTAAATTATTCTTTATTTTAGTTAGTATATGCTTAATTTCTGACTGGTCCTTTTTCATATCTTTGACATTCTTACTAAGATCCTTGAAAGTCTCACTGAGTCCCTTAAAGCTCTCATTAAGATCCTTCAGTAACCTCATAATCATTGTTTTGAACTCTGTAGACAATAGTTTGCTTGCTTCCATTTCTTTCATTTGTGACCTGTTTCTTTGTCTTCAAATTTTGGCTGCTTCCCTGTGTTTGTTTCTATGTATTAAGTAGAGCTGCAATGTCTCCTGGAATTGGTAGAGTGGCTTTGTGTAGTAGACATGCTGTGGGGCCCAGTGGCTCAGCCTCCCCAGTTACCTGATAGG